GCGTTCCTTCCGGACAAATTTGCCAATCATAAGCTTTTGATCACCCGTGCCATACGGCTGTTGACGGCTGCTACAAGCCGCCCGGCGCATGCAAGACCACCCCATCCCACGTGGGTCACTGCAGTTCGCCAGATCTTCCGGTGCTATCACCCACAAGGCAAATTGCTGTTTTTGCGAGCCTGTTTTCCACAATATGTGACAGTACCCGTCCCAGATGGGATTAGGGATGTTGACGTCCTTGGGTTCTCTGCGGGATCGTATACTGGGCTCGCAATCCATGAAGTGCTCAATGAATTTGATTGCTTCCCGGGTACCACTAAGGTAGCGGCAATTGCCTCTCCGCCTGCAATGTTGCGTTTGGCAACTGGGGAACGAAAGGTGGTGCTCCTGCACTGTCTTGAGGACCGACTCTGCGTGTGGCGCCCAGACACTCTCACAGACCTGAGCTACAATATTGTCCTTATAGATGGGCATCCATCTTGGAGTGGCCGTGCCAGGCATGCATATGGCCACCTATTGTTTACCCCAATTGAAGAAGGCACCTATCATATTGGTTATCTCCAAATCACAACCCCTGAGGTCATACCGCACGGGATACGATGTGAAGGGCTCTTGCGAGTGCTCTCATGGGTCAGTTTTGATCTCCCTGATCATTGCAAACGCACCCTGAGCGCGTTACCCCAGGCTGCTGGCGATGGATGCTCTGACTTGCATACAGTGCCATTTGATGGCAGAGATGTAAGGGATGATCCCCTCGCCACTGAACAGGATCTGCGCCAGGTGCTGATTGACATGATCCCCATCCCTGGACAGGCTCATGCTGAAGGAGGACACCTCATGAGGAACCTGCTTGCTGAATTCCTTCGTGGGTTTTCTCTTCGCACCCTGATATTTCTGCTTGATATGGTGTTGCCACAACTGGACGCTTATCATGCCGGCCGTCAGTTGCAGCACCTAAAACCCTGGATCAGCGTGGAGCTGGCGCAGCGGCAAGCACGGAGCCAACAGGGAGTAGAGCTTTTGGTCAGGTATGTGTATGAAGCCTATATATGCTGGCTTCCATGTCATCCAGCTGCTCACAGAGGGTGTTCCTATCTTGCTCTTCAGCGATCCGAATGCTGTCCCCCACGTATCACCGTGGGACCTATGCGCAACTGGCAATCTAGGGAGCATGGAATCCAATGTGATGGCAGGTAGGGCACTGTTTGGGTGCTTCCAGCTCCCTGATGGCCTGCGCCGCTGTGCCATTTTCCTAGTCCAAGAAAAAGTGATGCAGGGCACCAGTCGAGCCGCTGACTATCGTGCGTATCGACGCATTGCCCCGAAGTCACCCGAGCTAGTCGTAGTTTCCAGGCCTGTCGCCTTTGCCTTCTGTGGACGACTACTGGTGCAGCAGCCAGCTGGGGTGGAATACTTTGACCCTGCACGAGATTGGCCGCAGCCAATCGTGTTCCACGCAACTTTTTCTATACTACTGGAAGAACTGGCATTCCTTGGGGACACTCGAAGTCGATGTGAACCGCTCGTGTTTGCGCAGGCCAACCCGGCGCGGCTCCCATTGACGATGGGTATCCTCCAGCCCAATATTCCTGTGCGAATGACGACAAGTGAACGCAGGACAAAGCTGACTGATGCTTTGGTCCGAGTGCTGCGCCGCTTCCTAACACCCATTGGGGTTACTCTGCCGGGAGCACATGACGGGTACATGCGGGACAGCCTGCTTGCTCTGGCGGGGCATGGCGATGGACATGTCCTCACCGTGGCAGTAGCATTGCTCCTGGCGATCCTCACTGGCCGCTCTGACCTATGCATAGCCGGAGTCTTTGGCGCTGGCAAAATTCGCTCCTTAGCAGTCCTGCTAATCGCTCTCAGCTGCGAACTAGATGACTTCTATGCTATCGTTTACACCAAGGAGAATGTCGCTGCGAAAGCCCTTGCTGACCAGATCAGTGACCTTTCCCCACCAACACAATCAGCCTTTGGACGATTGTTGGGTCGTATCGAGGAAGGAAAGGGCGAAGCGTATGCGACAAGAATTGATGTGCGATGCAGCGATCGTAACAGAGTTATCGCGGAAAAGCGCATTCTGATTGCGACTGGAGGCTCAGCTACGGCAGAAATGGCTATGAAATACTCATCATTCAGCACATGGCTTTCCAGGGCGTGGCTAGCTTTTATGGATGAAAGCCAGCAGTACGGCAACTATCATGAAATCGCTGCACTTGCTGCCATCCAACAGCCAGCGCTTATCGTATTTGTGGGAGACCATAGGCAAACACCTGGTGGCCTATCCAAAGGAAGAGCTGCGGCAGCAAACAGGCAGAAGCTTCTTCACCGTCCCCTCGGACTACGCGCCCTGAATCGCCCGGGCGACTACCTTCCTCCCGCCCGGCTCACCAAGCTTCTCCCCCTCCTCTGGCCGGATGCGAGCCAGGATCCTGACTCTGATGTTGCGTGTCTGCTCAACGTTGGCCAAGCACCACATACAGGAGTCTGGACTACCGCAACGACCACACAATGCCTGCCAGCCTCTCTGGCGCGCCTTTTCAGTGGGGAGACGCTCAGCCATCTCAATGTTGCCAGTTGCCTGATCTCTGCAATATTAGCAGTCCTGCTGATCGCTACTGCACCCGAAGAGTTTGGAATCCCGGAGTGTACAACCACAGTGGAAGCAGCCGGCCTGGACGGCCCGCACCGATGGGGCATCATACTGCCCAACAGTTCACGACTGTCTCTGCTGACGTACAAAGCTATTGTCGCAGTTAGGTACCCAGAACTAGTACTGCATGACCAGGACCCCATCCAGATAGGGCACTTTGTACCTCATGATCACACTGTCGAGCACGGAGGATTCCGGACGGTCTTGTGGGAGGTTCCCAAAGATCTTATGGCAGCCATTGAAGACGTCGTAGTCTTCCTTAACTACCTTCAGAGGTACTATCGGGACCTTAGCCAAGGAGCGACAGCGCAGCTTTTGGTGATGTGCAACCGCACAGCTGTGCACAACCAGCTCCTGCAACATGGTTTTCAAGCAGCATGGTTTGGAGGGCTCAGAATAGCCACAACCTCGTCAGCGGCGGGGGCCACCGCACGAATTGCAGTTGTTGTCCAAACGGGGTGTGGTTTCCTCAGCGGGGGCCGTCGAGGGGCCTCTCTGGAAGACAGGGAAGACTGTTTTGGACGAGCCACGGTGGCGCTTACAAGAGCAATCAGGCATACGTACATTGTCTCTCCCATTGACATGGCTGGGATGATCGGGATGGCTCAGACGCTAGCGGTCTATCACTATGGTTTTAAGTTCAACTTAGAAAAACGCGTCGCCACCACATCTAGTCGTCAAGTGTAACAGTATTTTACGCAAGGCAACGTAAGGAAATGTTGTTAACTTGTTGGCTCGTTTTACGTGTCACGATCGTTCTTAGTGGAATTGCATTAATGAACATGTTCATTCAGCAGGAGCGGTGGAGTGAATCGCAGCACACCTTTTTTAACACGATGGGCTAGCAAGTACGTGGTCTTCTCCTCGCCACGCTGAACACTTATATCACAGCAGGGATGATGCACGGGGTTGCACATCCAATGCATTGCACAGGAAAATTTGTCAAAAACCAAATTGAATGGCTGGATCCAATTGACCCCTGCCAGGAAAAAATGAAAGGAGCAGACAGCGCTAAGGTGTCCTCAAGATGTGTCTTGAAGGACTGTACAATCTTGACCAGCGGCACTAGGTTGTCGAATGGGCGTGTCACAAATGTCGGCGATAGACTCGAGAATCAACAGAGAGTCATTCAGAATGTCAAGATTGTCTTGGTGCAACTGCAGATCATAAAAGGTGCCAAACCAAGCTTTGAAGCGCTGTAAGCCGTCGTGAGCTGGCCAAATCAAGGGTCTGTGCTGGGCCCATGCTTGTTGTTTCAAGGTTGTAAGCTTGAGTGGTATGGCCGGCATGTGAATCTCAGAGGGAATGGACGGCTCACATCCTGGGAACAACTCCGTCTCCAAAATTGCCAATGCTTTTGAACAAGCAGACCAAAGAGTGTAAAGGGACTGCAAGTGAATAGGGGCACCTACTCTGTCGATGATGGCGTGCAAGCACATACAGATGTCCTCTATGGCCAATATAGAGCCGGTCCGGTAGTCATCGTCCGTTGGGGCTGAAGCAACGGATGCTCGAAGAAAATGTAGCACCACCAGGAGCAATGTCATTGTGTTAATCATGGTTGGCATAGCCACCCAAGGGATGGGTGGGTGGGTGAAAAACAAAAGGGAAAAAACCCACGAGCAAGGTTCACGGATCTACCAGGTCAAAAATGCTCTTGTGTGTGGGCACTAGCCAAAATAGCACGAATGCAAATGGATGGATGTGCAAGCATGCGACAAACAAGCCACCAACAAGACACTGCATCAATTTGGCCATGACATCACTGTTGTTCAGGTTGTTAGGTTTTGGCAACATGTTTGTTGATCGCCACCGTACAGGCGTAGTTTCTTTTTGACGATAACTGAAACACAAGACGATAGACGGAGTATGAACGCTCAAGATGTTTTCAACATCTTGTTTCTAAGAGGAACTTAAAGTACTATCAGAGGGCTGACAGTAAACTTAAGTTCAACTTAGAAAAACGCGTCGCCACCACATCTAGTCGTCAAGTGTAACAGTATTTTACGCAAGGCAACGTAAGGAAATGTTGTTAACTTGTTGGCTCGTTTTACGTGTCACAATCGTTCTTAGTGGAACTGCATTAATGAACATGTTCATTCAGCAGGAGCGGTGGAGTGAATCGCAGCACACCTTTTTTAACACGATGGGCTAGCAAGTACGTGGTCTTCTCCTCGCCACGCTGAACACTTATATCACAGCAGGGATGATGCACCGGGTTGCACATCCAATGCATTGCACAGGAAAATTTGTCAAAAACCAAATTGAATGGCTGGATCCAATTGACCCCACTTAACCGCAAGCAACACGATCGCTGTGGCAAGGAAAAGGTTCTTGCAAGTTAATTGATGCATGAAAGAATGAACTGGACCGCAGCTTCAACCTCACTCTTCACAGCTCTTTGTCCAAGGGATTCGATCTCTTTGTCACTTCTGGATGGCTCATCTGCAGGGTTCGACTTGGAAGGCACTCTAGCATACCAAGGGATGATGGAGAGCTCATCCTCCAGTGTGAGCAAAAGGTTGACGAGTTTCAGAGGTGTTACGGTTCTCGCCGATCCAGAAACTGCAACATCTCTTGCACTGTTGTTGTCAACAAAGATCACAACAGGTCTGTCCAACAAGTCGTTCTTCCAAAGTTTGACTGCAACGATGACTGCAATGAGCTCCGCTTCAAAAATCACAGTCTGCTTGTGTTCCGGGAAGCCTAGAACTGCCAGATCATTTTTGTCGAGGCAGTATGAGAAGTGTCGCAGGGCTTTGCCATTCTCATCATACAAGACCCCTCCCACGCCAGCCGGCCAAGATGCATCGGAAGGTTCGAAGCTGGCATCAGTAAAAACAAACCGGGGCTTGTTGGTGCCTGAAATGATTTCCTTGGACTTACCGGCATTCAAAACTTTTCTGAAGGTGGACAGCGCCGCTGCTAAGGCGTCACAAACCTTGCTTGAATTGTTGTTGTAGGCATGGAGGGTCACCTGCTTGAGACATATCTTGCTAGCCCTTCCCCAAACCTGTGAGTTTGCAAACTGCATCCTTCCACGCAGAGACAACGCAGCGGCACTAGAGAGTGTGCCCTCCCTCAGCGCTTTGTCGATGCAACCGCTGAGCTCCAAAATCCTCTTTTCTGTGTTTTGCATGAGCACAATTCCCTTCGTCCAGTTGTCAAGGGATATCTGCACACCCAGAGCTTTGAAGATGTCGCTGAAGGGAAGATCTTTGTCACCGCCAGATACCCTCCAACCCAAAAGATCGAAGAAGGTTTGCACACAACCCGAAACAATCGTAGCACAAGTTTCACGGGAGAGACAGATAAAGTCGTCGAAATAACTCGACCAAATCAGGCCTAAGCCCTTAGCACCAAGGTACCAGAGGGAGTGTGCCACTCTCAAAAAGCAATAGACAGACTTTGTGGCCCCGAAGGGCAAGGCCTTCATTTGATAGATTTCAGCCCTGTCGGTGTTTGGGTTGTAGACTGCTATATACGCAGCCCAAGCCGAAGTTTCTGAAACAATCATCTGTCTGTAGGCCGATGCAAGGTCGAATGTCTTTCCCAGCCACCTGTTCGAGCGATCACCAATGTTGAGTTCTCTGAGAAGCGCTGCTACGAAATCGAGGGTGTGGAGATAGGGTGCTGCACCTGCTTGCACGCAGCCATTCACCCCTGAAGCAGAAAAATCATCAATCAATCTGACTTTGTCACCTTGCCGTATGCCGAATCTTCGATTGATGATGGCGTGTTCAGGAAGGTCCTCCTGATTGATGGGTCCACATATCCAGCCATCTGCTTTCTCATCCAGGGTCTTTCGGTATACTTCGGCATCAATCTCGCCGTCACCCCCACTTCTCATGCCGGCCAGTGTCGCATCCCTGGATGCCTTGGCACCTTCTCTCAGTTCACCGACAGATTTGGTGGCTGGCTTGAAGGCCGATGTCATCGATGGAACTTGGCCCACAGAGCCCACAAGATCAACTCCCTTCAAGAGCTCATCGACCACTTCCATGTCGTCGTAGTTGTAGCGCTCCAAAAGGGTTTTCCAAAGAAGGATTCGTTTCCCTTGCAAAATAACTCTGGCATGATCTGGAAGGGCTGCGTGAATGTTTCGCTCTTCTTTCTGCAGATCTTTGGCAAGGGCGGACCATTCCGAGAGGGTCTGGAGCATGGTTTGGCACAGCTGTTTTGGGGTGCTCCTCAAGTTCCACTCGATAACTTCTTCAAGAGCGCATGGCAGGACAGCGCTCCACTGGGATTGGTGACCAGCTTTCACCGCTTCTTCAACAAATTCTTCAGGGGTGTGATAAATCCCGAAGGCCATGTCTTTCTGAGGAACGTTGTCATCCATATCAGCCATATCCCCCCCGTTTGTCCGTACTGGTGTTTGTTTCAAATATTTGGCGCCAGGGGGAAGGTCTTGCCAGCTGGACTGCAGTGAACTACCTGGCAGGCAAGGGTCCGAGTCATGTAGTGGCCGCTTGCGATGATGTATGATTTTGAATTCTGGCACTAATGGTGGCAGTTTGGATGCCCTTGGTTGGGTGGACGTAACTGCACGCAAGTGCTGCAGAGTCGGACCCTCACTCAATTGCACCGCAGGTGGGAGCCAACCTTTGGAAACTGCTACTGCTGCGAAGACACCTGCAATCGCATAGGCCAGGTCAACAGGGTAGGCAGCTTCCTCTTTTGTGCTAAATTGCTGTTTGTCCATGTCGTAGCCCCATGGCTTGTGGATGTGCTGCTTGGATTGACCCGGGCACGTCCTGCAGATGGTGAAAAATCCATCATGGTTGTGGAGCAAAGCGGTCCACTTGGGTCTCTGTCCACCGTATGCACAGGCTTGATGGGCTGTAAACTTGAGTAGTTTTGTCAACGGCTGGGCAAAAGAGGTCAGCCAGTACAAGGAACTTCTGGGGTTCTCTATGCAAATGACCTTCCCGTGCTCCACACAGTAGAGTGCGATTTCCGTGAGGAATGCATACAGCTTGTTCGCAGCACCCACCCTGGCTCTTTGGCTCCACGTCAATGTGGGTAATCCATCTGGATAAGATGAAGATCTCAATGGTGGAGGTCCAGAACGTTGTTTGGAGCCCGGCACTTGAATTGGGATGTTGCGCGCGAGGCTACAGGTACCGCATGGCGGTGCAGCGAACACTCCAAAGCATTGATCTGCTTTAATCCACTGCCAGAAAAGCGACTGACCGCTGCTCGTTGTAAGATCGGCCGTGATTACTTTTGCAATGTTGTTACTGAGAATGTGGTCCACTCCAAAGCAGCCCGTAAGTCCCAGATAACGTAGGCATGCAGTGACCCGAGCGGAACCCGCAAACATCTCAATGACGAAGGGCTGTGACGGGGCAGTAGGCTGAGGCTGCTTCAGTATGGTGTCATCTTTACATGCAGCAAAATTGTGTGGCTCTTCGGCCACTGGCACTGAATTGGATTGCGGCGCTTCGGCCGATGTTTCATCATTGCGCTGGGGCTTTGACTGTAGTCAATGCTTGCCATGGTTCTTCATGGAGTGGTTCCCAAAACATTTCGCGCACACATGATGCCCTCTCGTGCACTTCGCCCCGTCCATAGCGCCGTCACAAGATCCAATGTTGTAAGAAAAACATATTGGCTCGCCTGAAGGAAGAGAGGCCTTGCCTCCTTGGTCACGGATCTGCTGTGGGATCCTGGGCTCCCATTTGGTTTTTCCCTTGCCTTTCCCTTTTGGCTTGTTGATGGATGGCTTCACAAGCGGCCTGGGCCCCGCATGCGGCTTGGCCTTGGGAAAGGACGGCGATGGCTTGGTCTCAGTCTTCGGTGTGGATCTGCTCGGCAATGGCATGAGGATGAAGGACACCTCATAGCTCTTCAAGGCTTCATCCAGTTTGCTGTCAATGGGCTTTGTGCCATCGATTGCACGTCGAGGCTTGACATTGTCCTGGATGAGCTTCTTCCAAACTTCTTTGTCTGCATTCACCAGCTGGGACACATTGCATCGCGCGAACCCTGCTGGGGGCTCCCTGTGCAGGTGTGTAAACAATGTTTGTATGTACTTCTCGTGGATGGCAAAGGAACAGATGTCCGCAAAATCCAGCGCCAAACCCCTTCGGCGAAGGGCTTCTTGAACCTGGAGCGCTGATTGTGCAGCGATCTCCAAATCTCCTCCGCGCTCCTTCACAATGAGTTTCGATGATTCCACCTCCAGAATTTTGTCGGGTTGTTTTGTAGACGTCAGCTCATGAAGTCTGCTGACGCATTTCTCAGGAGGGATGTAGGACACCTGGTTCTTTTCATGCATTTGTACTGCTTGGTCGAGGAGACCGTGTCCGGGTTCTGTTGCACCTTCGATTACTTGGCCAGCAAGTCTCGTCTTCAAATTGTTCAGGCGCATTTCTCTTTCCGCCTGGGGGAGCTTCTTGGCGACGAAGTTGTCGGGTTGTGTGACTTGCTCTTTCAAAAGTGCCAAGAGTTGCGTTTGAGATTCAAAAAGCAGACGCTTGAGGGTGGCCACAGCTCCCACTGTCACATTCGGATCAATTGTCTTGACCCACGTGGCAAATTTCACATCATCGATTGTCTGTCCCGGCTGTCCAAAGGAATAAGCAAGCGTAGAAATGGTGGTGATACCTGCCGTTTCCAAAGCAGTTCTCAGGGTGGCAGGGACCTTGCAATCTGACAACCTTTGCTCAAATTGTGCAGTGCTATCGGCGAACGAAGACATGATCACAGGCAGCGTTCAAAAGAAGGGTCGTGAGTCAGCTTCAACATGACGCTTGTCTGCCTGAAAATGAGTACAAGAAAACTTTGGTTGAAAATTGCTCAAGACAGGCCATGTTAATGGTTTAGGAGGGATTCCTTTAAGACCAAAAGAAAAAACCATGGTAAGACACTCTTCATGCTTTGTGAATTCTGGAGCCGGTCGGCGTACGTTGGATAACATGCCACGCACTATGTCCCATGGACGTTGCATGAGCTTCACTGCATGAGCTTCACCGCTGCAGCTTTCCATCACGTGACATGCACACCAACCGCTCCTTTTTTCACATCTTCCTGGCGCACATCTTGCAGATAACATTCCAGGCACTCGATTCGGTTGACCTGCTATATGCATCTGTCAGCCTCTTGCCACAGCTCAGAAACCTAATGTTCCAACCCTCGTCACCTTGTTCATGCCTGTGGAGGATGTGGCTTTTCCTATGGACGTACCATAGCTCATCGGCTGGTACCTTTGGCCTAAAACGCCTGACTTTTGTGGGCGGTTCCTCAATCGCACTGGAAGCAGAGCTTTCAGCGTCACTAGACGATGACGAGTCGGATTCATCCGAGCTGACAATAATTTCACCCTCCACAACCTCGCTTGGGTGATCTTCTTGCTTGCACTCAACTTCGACTGGGCCCAATACACCTTGGCTCATGACATGCCTCTGGATAGGCGGTGTCGGAGGGAATGTCGGAAAGAAATCTCTTCCTGGCGCATCCGGCAAGAACCTGCCCTCTGCGATCTCCACAATCACTGACTGAAGCTCTCTTGTCGGAGCTACTGTCAAATCCCTGCTATAGATGGTGTAGGTGTCGACCAGGGCACCAGAGTGCCTACCCAGTATTGACCTCGTCGTTCCTGATAGGCCATATTTTGCACACCAGGACAGCGTGGTCGATTTCAATGAGTGCGACGAGATTTCAAGTCTGCCATCACCATTAAGCTGATCGAGCGAGTGCGTGACTGCTCTAAGCATGCCCGTGGTCTCTGAGGATGTCAGGCCTCTTTGTAACAATGACCCCGGCTCACGATCAGGCGCTGGCAGCAAAGGACCTTCGTCAATGTTGTCCACGGGGGCTCCGACTGCTTCAAGGGCTTTGCACGCCAGAGCCAGCCATTGTTCGCCATTGACGCCGATGCCAGGAATCAAAATCGGCAGAAGTTTTGACTTTTTCTCTGCACTGCGTCCGGTCTTGTGGTTTGATGTTGTGATCTCCAGAAAGCTGCACCCTCGGCCAACGTCAAGCTTCACAGAATGAATACACTGCAAGTCCGAATGGCGACATCTCCCATAAAGTGCAATCAAGCAATAAGCACTGAAGGCACGGTCGTATGGATGTTTGTTAACATCATTGAGAGCCTTGTGAATGAGGAGGACTTGATTGACCGTGAGGGGCGCTGCTTGTTTGAGCAAGGGCTTGCCTGCAAGCAGAATCTCTACCAGCCCCGTGAGCCTCCTGCTGCTCAGGCAAGGGCCAAGGGTTTCCATTCCAAGGACATGCACTCCAAATCTAATGGCTGAGAGGCAAGAAGACGCTCTCGTTGCTG